TCAAATCCCGTAAAGTGCATAGCATCAACAGGGGAGGCCAAAGCAGGTGTTTTCCAAGTAAAATCCTCACAACAATCCTCACGATTATTGAAACATAAGACCGCATTTCCAGGGCGTATACCTCTGTGGGTGACTCCAAAAATTGTGGGTCAACCCAACACCCTTGACAAGATCAAAAGCTAAACCTTGTAGCGCCTTCACAGATATAAAGGAAGCTTTAACCTCGTTGGATGAGGAGGTGGGAAGGCTTGATAAGTGTCTGCCTAAGTAGTAATCAAATGACAAACCATGATATAGGAAAACCACGTATGTAGTTTTCCTATGTGGTATATTTTTGAGGTTTTCCCATAGGTATATTTGTGAGAATCATTCGTAATATGAAAAAATTTGGATATTGGTCCTTCAAGTATTAATGAATTTGTAACGAAAAAAAGGTGATAACTGTAATAGAGAAGAGAACTAAAAAGGTTGTTAAACTCATGAATTCATTAGAGAGAGAAAAAAAAACCTCATCCATGGGACATCATGATCCCCTTTTCTCTCACCCGTACGCCCATTCTCGTTTAGGAAAAAAGTTAAACCATGGTTCTAAGGTGGCAATCAGACAATGGCAATTCAAAAAAATTCAATTGTGGTATTCTTCTTTCAAAAAAGTTATGCCTTCTAAGAGAAAAAAAGAACATTTTTAATACTCTGATTCATATAACAAGGTCTTTATTTAAAAATTAAGATACAAATAATAATTTTATTTCTTGATATCAAAGCCGATAGAGAGCTTAGGAAAAATTCAACACCATAAGATAAGAAACTAATGTCATTTCATTCTTTTCTTTAAACAATCAACCAAATGATTATGGAAAAAGAGTGAAATGACTAAAACTGACTAAGTAGTACTCCCCCGTCTCGAAATTATTGTACAGTTTGGACTTTCATTTTTAATTCAATTTGAACTAAAAATAAAAGTCTAAACTGTACAATAATTATGGAACAGAAGGAGTATGTGACGATCTAACTCAAGTCACTCCAAATCATACATCATAACACCATGAAATTATATCCCATACATCCAGTCTATTAAAAGTCAAATAATTAAGAAAGAGTTCATGATTTCCAAACCAATTATGATTACATATTTAGAAAGATACGAACGTTATTATATTATACCCATACTATAAATATATACATACATAAAGATTTTTAAACTAAATACCCACGGTTAGTTCACTTCATCATTACTCCCTCTCTTGAAAGATGATCATTACCAAGAACAAAAACAAGAAGAAAAAGGCCCCCGCTGAGACGAAGTGGGATGTCCACCATGGCATCACTGTGGAATCCTCGTTTTTGCATTCCCGAATACAAGGTGCATGAACCCAATTTCTTTTCTTAGTTTGATTACTATATAGAATTTTATTTAGAGGAATTATGTGTCTAATGCCTGATTTGACCCAATTATAAAGAGGTCCCCCTTCCTATATTTTTTCGTTATTTATTTATTGATTCAAGTTTATTGAGGATTCTTTATTTTCATTGGGACAGATAGGCTAAAGAAACAAAATTATTTTGTGATACTAATGATGTTATTATTTTGATATGTGAAAATATTATTTTGTCCAATTCAACCCATGATAAAAGATGAGCTTCCATGCCTACTGCTTTGGTGAAACAAACACCTAAGAAAGATACAGACATTTTACAAATGTAAAATTTTAGATTTAATAGACCTTATTCAACATAAGCCTTGTAGTCCTTTCGGGGACATCCGATAAAATTGGAATGTGGTATTCTTCATGTACTGGATTTACATATACGTATAATTTAAAACTATTTGTAATCTACTCTTAGATTTTTATAAATTATTATCACATTATGGTACAAACAAATACGTACTATAATGGTTTTTGTCTGCCTTGGAGAGAATTAGATTAATATATAGATTTTGAAATTTCGGTGTAGTTTGTGCATGTTTGCAATTTAGATAGCAAACATATGCACAAAGTATTTGCTAGGAAGCTAACACTTTTGAAATATGACTTTTATAATAAAATTTCATACTGAACACTATTTGCTATGAAGATTGCAGGCTTTCTAAAGATGAATGCATGAATGTTATTATTTTCACAACACACATTATATATGGATAATGATTTTTGCAAGGAAAATTTACAAAGAATTTTAACAGGGAATGATGATAACTGTACACATTTACACCTTACATTTTGGGGTTTATGTTTTGAAGGTTTGGATCTAGATAGTTAAAATTTTTTGGGATTCATGTATTTAAAGGCCAAGAGAATGTTAAGATTCAGGCCACATCATTCATGTTAAAATTTTCTGTAAATTTTCTGTATATGTATCAGTATTGTATATATAAGAAAAGATTGCGAACGTGTATGTATCTTTATTATAAATATGTTCTTTCAATTGAAAATAATACTTTAAAAATATTTTATAATAATTGAGAGAACATAAACATAAAAATACATATTAAAGGTTTTATTCTCGATTGGAATAACATTCTAAATGATATTATATATGAACAAATTAAAATGCCTTACAATGCATGAAAAATCATAAAATGCCTTACAATAATGACCGAATGGAGTACAATCATTTTTTTTTTGAAATAACAAAAAAAAGTATTATTAGTACACAAAGTAATTAGTTCAGGTTAATTTAAGGAGGAAAAGGATCAAAAGGTGTCGGCCTAATGAATCCTTTGTGTGATTGGAGAGAAAATATTTTCAGTGTTGACCACGGCAAGAAACAAAAACTTGACAAGTGACAATCAATCCATTTCACACCAGTCAATTTCCCCAAACAAACGGATTATATATACTGTAATGGTGATTGATTAAATCCCTTACGAGGGAAAAAAAAAAAAAACGTACATCTCCTAACCAGTTGCAGGCCTTGAGAAGGGTTTACCATGGTTGATATCTAAGTTATAGAAATTTTCTTCCGAAAATGACCTACTCGAAACGAGTAGTATATATACCTTTTGGGCTGGGTTTTGACTTTGGCGTGTCCTTTGCAAAGTTTTTATATTTGTAGACATTACAGCGGAGTTAGTTGGTGCTTAAGGTAGTACAAGATTGTGAAGATTATGATGTGGAAGATGAGCACATGATGGTATTCTGATTTGGAAGCTCAGTTCAAGTAGGAAATTATGCTTCTTCTTGGACTTTAAGGTCTATAACCTTTTCTTCTTCTTCTTCTTCTCCGTTTTTTTTTTTTTGGTATATTTGTGTTCCATAGTGATTTTAATAAAATGTGCTATATGATATAAAACGTGCTATTACATCAATGTCAATGAAACGACAATGTGTTTAAAATATAAAATTATCTCCATTTATCATACATACAACTCATCATCAATCATTACAATTTCATTATAAATACTAACATTTCATTTCCAAAATATTGAAAAACTATAAGGCTTTGTTTGGTTGCATTGAATTGGGACCAAGAATTGGAATTGGAGCTCTTTAATTCCAATTCTTATGTTTGGTTGCTAAAAATAAAGGTCCAAGAATTGGAATTATAATTCAAGATGGGGCTCAATTCTTTATTTTCAATTCTTTTGTGAGAGCAAATAATTGGAATCCAAATTCAAGGGACTTAGAAAAGTACGCGAGTCATAACCGGGTCGTTTCCGGGTTATAACCTAAACGGGTCACTCTATCAATTTTTGCATTTCGACCTTTTTTATATTTTTCTTTTATTTTTCCAGCGCTACTTTTTTCTTTTTCTTGTTTTTTTTTTGCTTTGACCGCTTCCTGGCAATTTTCTTTTATTTGTTTTTCTTTTTTTTGGTTGGGCTGTTTGTCTCATTATTATTATTATTATTATTTCATATATATCAATTTAATAATTATCAACGAAATCAATCTTAAATTAATATTGTATCATTTTTACAAAAAGATCAAAAGTACAGTTGTACCCAAAAAAATTAATAACTAAATATTTTAGTTTGGGTTAAAATTTTTAATATATGATGACATAGTAAACAACATACCATTTTCAATTTTTTCTTATAAAAATTGTTCCATGTATACACCTATATTATAATACATACATATATATATATATATATATTTTAAACTATTCATGGAATCTTTTCACCAAAAATTATGTAAGTTGAGTTTTAAGTATCTATTATTCATATATAATTATATACTAAAAATAAAAAAAAAATTAAGCATATATTATATACTAATGTTAATCTATGTATAAATGAACCTCAATATTCATAAACAGAATTTAAAATGTTATATAATAATTTTTTTAATTTTTGATATCAATCAAAACATCAAAAATTAAAAATTTTGAAAAATAATAAAAGAGAGGAAAACAAGGATGTTTTACGTGTTAGTTGTTTGTGTAACTGAGAATTTTAAGTATCATATTAATAATTCTTATAGGTAATAATATTTTTTTGTTTCCAACAAAAATGTGTGTACATAATAAATTACAAGATTGATATAGCAAATTAATTAAAAATAATAATTTATTTTAACAAAAAAAAAGTAAAAAATGTATTAGTTAAACAACAACAAAATAGTAAAATATACATTACATAATGACTTTATTTATTTTTTTTGTGTTATACATATCTATAATAAATTATTTTTTTATTTTTTATTTTTAGTTTTTGACAAGAAATATAAATTATACTAGTATTAGTTATACAATAACAAACTAATTTCAATTCTAAAGTATCCAAATTTTTATGCACCCAAACGCGAGAATTGGAATTAGAACCTTAATTCTAGTAAATTTTCAAGATCTCCCAAACAAAGGAATTGAGATTGAATTACAATATTAATATCTCATTTTCAATTTAATATTATTGTAATTCCAATTCAATCTAACCAAAAGGAGCCTAATAAAAGTTGCCTCGATCTTATAAAAAGACGTATATATATTTTAAAAAATTTTGTAAAAACTGAAATGACATATATTTAAGAAATGAGGGAGTAATTCCCTTCACTACTTTCACACAGGTAAAAAAAAAAACACAAAACAAAAGCAAACATGGAGAACATGTTATATAACTATAGCGCGTGTTGAAACTTCGAACAAACGTCCATGGAAACACACACAGCCACACGCGCATGAATGAAAATTATCATCTCCGAATGTGAGCAACGAAAGAATCCATCTCCAATGGCCGTCCACCACCCGCGGCAATAGATTCCTTCACCGTTTTGCTCACTTCTTGGGCCCTTTGCCTCATGGCATCTCCCTCAGATGAATCCATCAATCTTCTCACAGCATTTTGAATAGCTTTGGGCGTCACATTTCCATGAGCAGGTGACCAATCCACAACAAGCAGGCCTACTTTCAGCACTTGTGTCATTAACACCGAATTCGTGGGATGGTCCGAATGCATTGGCCACAAAGCCATTGGCACACCGCGACTAATGCTTTCCATGCAAGAACCCCATCCACAGTGACTCAAGAATCCCCCAGTTGATGAATGTGCAAGAATATCCGACTGAGGTGCCCAATCCCTCACAATGATTCCTCTCCTGTTCATCCTAGTTTCAAACCCTTGTGGCAATTTATCTTCCAGACTCCTATCTTTTTGGTTGAACAAGTGCCCTGTATCTGCATCTCGGAGCACCCACAAGAACTTCTGATTGCTTTCTTCCAACCCGACCGCGATCACCTTAATCTCTTGGTCCGAAAGCGAAGTCGTGGTACCAAACGACACGAACACCACGGAATTCGGAGCTTGCTTATCAAGCCACTCCAGACAGTGATGTCTGGGTTTTTGCTCCTCCTCGTATTTCCTCAAGCCTCCTGTTATAGGATTCAGCGGACCCACTGCCCAATACTTCTTGGTGAAGGTATTTAGCTTGGTTAGGTGATCGAGATACGGGCCGTCAATGGCTCTGCATGAATGGAAAAGGGTTCCAGAGCTGTTTATTTTGACTTCTAATTGTGATAGCATGTACGCGATGGCCTCAGGTGGGTAGGTATCTTTAGGCAATAGTTGAAGCAATTGGGATTCAGGCAACGATTCGGGTTTTCCTTCCAGTTCCCAATAAACGGAGTAAGTGTAAAAGGCAGAAGTGCTGAGGAAGGAATAAGATTCACCGTTTGGAATCGAACATATGTCCTGGACAACGTACGGGATCAAGGCGTCGTGTATTACCACTAGCCTCCTGGTTTTGTTTGACAGCTTTTGCAAGAGTTGCGAGATTGGTTCTCGAAGATGAAGCGACGCGTAAAAAGCTGGCAATAATTGGACAGGGTATTTGGTACGATTATTCGGATTTGGTGGAGGTGTTTCGTAACTAGGGACTCCGAATTCATGGAATGTGATTCTGTTTCTCGAGCACCCATGAAGATCATCATCATCATCCTTGTGATCCCAACCATGGATGCGGGATTGTACCTGACGGGAGTGAGCCGGACTGCAAACATAGTGGACCGGAACGTTATAGGATGAGACGTAACGAGCAAGATGGAGGAACAAGTTGAGGTGTCCTTGCGCCGGCAGAGGAACCATCACCACCGTTACATCTTCATGATTTCCGTTTTGCCGGCCATTCTCCTCCTGGTTCCCCTCTCCCGCGCTATGAAAAGCCATCAAGTGTTTTGTGTGTTTGTGTGTGTGTGTGTGTGTGTTATGCAAATTGCTCTTAGGCACTGGGAAGTGACGAAGTGTGTTTTGGTTTTGTATGTGCAGAAACGAAACACATTTTCACAAACAACTATAAACTTTTATAATTATTTCATTGTGCAATGCTTTATTATTATAGTCATTATTACTAGTTAAAATTTAATTCAACTTCTTTCTAATTAAAAAGAACTAATTAAAGATGTAAAAGCGGAGGAAAAACCGCCATTAATAGATAGCTGGCTGGAGATGGATCCACTGAAAGCCACCATCTTGCAGTATCCTATGCGAACAACACATATGCAACATGCATAACATGAAAGACACCGATGGTGTAACATGGTCGGCGTACCAATTTTAATTAAGAAAAAAAAGAAGTCAAACCTTCTAATTAACGCTCTCTTGATTATTTCTTCACAAGATGTCGAAATTAAAAATTCACACTTACCAGGAACTTTTAGGCGACGCTATCAGTATGATTTGAAAAATTTCACATGCATGCATGTGTAGATATTTGTTGGCGAGCGTGTTGACCTTGTATTAATGTGATCATCTGGGGTCATTTTTTTATTTTTAATAATATATGAGACTGATCTTACGAGTCATCCACCCAAAAAGTATGGATCGATTTGCAGGTCCAATGGCTGTTTATTGCTGGCCATTTGGTTATTAAAAACTAGGAGTAGAAAAATAAAATGGGTTTTTCTTGCAATTGTTCCATGCTTTCGTAGGGCAAAGCCATGTGTGGGACAAACTAATGACAGGAATTAGCTATAAGCCCATCGAGATTTGAGCTTAGTACTCAACGCATTGAATATCAGATCTGGACAAATTGAACTAGATGAGGATGAATGCTTATCCTTACAAACTTTGATCCATTACCTCAAGGTTATTTGTTGATACTCACTAAAGACAGCATGTGTATACAAATACAAAAAATCTTTTTGAATCAGGCCTTTGTATTTATGAAAAAAAAGTAGTGATATATGTATGAAAAAATTTTAAGAAAAAATTACAAATAATAATTTGACAATCATCTAAAAAGTTTTTTAACCTTAAACGCATAATCCTAGCTAATTAAAAAAAAAGGTATGAAAAACAAATAGATGTGATCATTAGCTGTTACTTTTGCTTGTAAGTTTTTTCCGTGTATATCATTATTCTTATGAAAACAAACTTATTTTGCTGTACATTATTTTATTAAAATATAAACTACTTTTGTTAGAAAGAGTATTAAAAATAGTCCACCTCGTAAGTCTCGTTTAACACGCGCTGGATCAACCGATAATCACAGATGGCACAATACGTGAAAATATATCGTAGCTTAATGAAGTTTGTCTAATACAGCTGCGAATACAGTATTAATTAATTACTCTACGAAACCATGCATTTTGCATCAAATTTTAAAATAGATTTTCTTGCTGGCGCAAATCTTTGGAGCATATCCCAACTATATGATTGTCAGATACTTAATTCAAAAAGCCTCATTTGACGTTACCTCTAGCGAGGCCAACAACATCTTCAAGATCCTAACCAATGAGTTTTGAATCTGTGATGTCTCTCGCGCACGCAAAAAAATAATAATAATAATAAATAAAAAAAGAAGAAATTCCATCTCCTGTGTTATTACATTATTATTGTTTACTCTGTTGCATTTTCAAGTGATATATTATAATCAAATTTGTCGTATTCACTAGATGAGTTCAGACTAATTAATCGGAACTGACAACTATTTTTTATGTCTCAAAATTATTATCTAATTTATATTTTAAGTTTATTACAATTTGAACTAAAAAAAAAAATACAGACTGTACAATAATTTAGAGGCTAAGGGAGGAAAGACCATCTCGTGTAGATCCTGATTCACCAGATTAGTACAATTAAAAGTTGGGTAAGAAAAGAAAATTTATTTTTTTTTAAAAAAAAAATGAAATGCTATTCCCCGGCCAGGCATGTGGGAGCACAACGGCGACTTGTAATATTTTTTATGGTGAGAGTCCGGCGGTGTGGCTTAAGGAAATCTGAGCAAAATCACGAGTTGTTGTCTAGTCATGCTGTCATGCGTTGCTGTAATTCTCATGTTTCACCAATATCCACCACATTGAGGCTATTTTTTTATGAAGGAATTAATAAGAATTTAGGCGGGTCAAAATGGCTGGTTGAGATATAATGTAGTCGTTGAGCAGGGATCCGAGGACAGTGCATTTTAATTTTTTTTTTCTGTTTTTTTTTAAATTGTAAATTGCATTGATCAACTTCACAAAACTCATATCTGTACAAGTGTAATTACATTTAAAACATTGAAACTTCCTAATTCCAGCCCTAATCTCCTCAGAAACTCTATTTCACTCACCTTTAGTTTCTTATTTTTCAAGTAATACATTGTCCTCCATCTAATCTCCTGCTTAAGTCTATTAAAGGAGTCAGCCACTCCCAGTTTCTATTCTCTGAACTTCCTGTAGTTCCTTTCTATCCAAATGTGATAGATTGAATTTTTATTTTTACTTAAAGAATAATGATAGGAAGCTCACCTAAATAACTCATCTTATCATCTCACCATACATAGCATTTACTGATTGGACAATGTATTTGTATTTAAATATAAATAAATTATATTAAAATATTATTATATTTCTTATTAATATTCGGCCTACTTATTATATTTTGTTTAGTTATATTTTTGCCCTAAAGGGTTTAGTTTTTTAGGGGTTAGGATCTATTTATTTTAAAATTTTAGATATATAAGTATTCAAAAAGTAAATATATCTGACAAAAAAATTATTAAATCAACTTATTAGATTTTATCTAATAATTAATTAATTTATTAAATTTCATCCAATAACTAAAGGCCATGTAAGGTGAGATGGAAAGGTGAGATAAATTAGGTGAGATGTGTATCATCACTCTTAATCAAAATTATAATAAAAATTAGAATTTAAAATGAACAATTATTTTAGAAAGAAAATAAATGATTATATGACTATCATGAGTAAGTATCTTTCCGAAAAGAGATTGAGCAATATCTGTCCAGTGAAGTTTCATATTTGTTTCATCCGATGTTTTAGAGATAGTTTGTAGCTAAGTTAAAAAGGGAAAAGAAAAATAAAATAATGTTATAAAATTAATACTAGAATACTAATATGAAACTAAGCATAAGAACAAAGAGGAGAGACAAGAGAGTATAGAGAGATAATAGAGATGTATTTAGATGTCTTTTGAAGCATGTATGAGCTCCCTACTTATACAAGAAGTAGAGGATCAAACCGTGAGAAATAAATCACCTATCATTAATGCTAAATATTACATAATCATATCTCCTTGATTGTGAATAGAATAATACATGTTAATTATGGACATTCAATTAAATCAAATCAAATATTTCATAACAATCTCCCTTTGAATGTCCATCTTTGTAGAATAATGCCTCGTTAAAACCTTACTAGGAAAAACCCTTTGGGATAAAACCCTAGTGAAGGAATAACAGTACACTTCCAAATGTGACGCTGCCTCATTAAAAATCTTGTCAGGAAAGCTCATTGGGACAAAACCTCGATCAAGGGAAAAAGAGTACAGCATGGGTTACTCCCCCTGTTAAATACGTCACATGTAATCTTCTCGTTGCATGCTAAGCTATTGATCAGATTCATGATTGTTTAAGTCAATAATAGACAGATTACTTCCACTTCTTATGTAAAAGGTTGTCTTCATATACCTGTATAATCTTGAGTGTTTTATAATAATGGAGATGCATGACCATCATATTTTGAAGGCATCAATATACACCATCCAAGTCTTGACTAATTGATTAGATAAACCAAAACTTTATATGGTACTTCAGGACCAAATAGGTCTACATCATTCATAGAAAGTCAAGAAGAATGATCTATATGCCCGTCAAGATTTTAATCAAGTGCGCTCAATGGGTGTTGAATATACAAAGGTTAAACTATTTAGACCGAGATTCTACTCAAGATCTTTCATTATCCTTGCTTCAGGCAAATAGCAACCTTTTGAACTTCCTTAAAAGTGTTCAAAAATCTGATATAACTCTTCAGGAGTTTTACTTATATTCAGGCTATTCGAACTTCGTGATAAGTTTCGATAATATTCAGCCTTTTCAAATTCTACATCAGTTCGGTGCTAACAAAATTGTAATGAACATATGGCTTATGAATACTCACTCTAGTATTAGTTATCATCCTATCATTCAAATATGATCATAAAAACAGATAGAAAATCATGTTACAAACAAACATAACATATCTAGATAAAAGCAAACATAGCATATCTATTATATTCAAAAATATGAACCTAAATATCTAGACACATGAATACATTATAACTTGCGCAAGTCCTTTGAATTAATTTCTCAAGAATTGGGATCGTGTCCCTTTATTTTTAATCCTTCAGGGATTTCATATAGACGTCATTGATAAGTATCATGTATTAAGTGATTAATAAAATCAAGAGACACATTTCTTATCTTCAGTTGCTACAAGATTAGCAAATAACAGAAGATTTTCCTTTTCATCCACCACAAGATAAACCGGACTTTGGAAAAAACTTGTTCAACAAAGAGGTTGCTCGATAATCTTTTGCACAATCACCCCCCAAAATGTAGAAAGTATATCAGTTGCCAAACTTCTAGTTCGCAAGCAATTTCAATTCTAAGTACACATCGTCAAGTGTGTATTGCGTCTTTTCATTTGTTGTGGCCAATAAATTTAATGTCTGTATCTACAACAGACTTCATTTCATGATCCTCATTATCATTTATTTTACTGTTGCAGCATAAGTAATTTTCATGTCGACATTTTATTGCTGATCGATTCCATATTCTTCGGTAATGAGATCTCACAATCATTAAGTTTCCCAACTATTCATATACTTCTTCTGGAAGTTAATTCATCATGATGAGAAACTATTCTAGTTTAAAATTCTTATGAATTATAATCGCTCGTATTTGTCAT